CCTCAGAAAACCTAAAGGCAGGAGGGGGAAAAATAAAATAAAAATTAAATGTATATTACTGTTGACAATTTATGAAGTGTATATGGGGCAAAAGACAATCTTTTAAAAAAACTTTTCTTGTTAATTTACATGTTTGACCAATGAAACATTAGGGTGTTATTTTTTGAGCAGGGAAAATTAACTTTTATGGTTTTTCTTATTCGTGAGAAAAGACGACAGGCGGATCCGTCAAACAAAAAATAAAATTGGTCTGGTCTAATAATACTTTATTCAAAACTGCAATACTGTTGTGATACTGCAAACCGTTAAAAACTACATATATTCAAACGATCGAACTGCTTCAATTTTTGCCCAACGTACATTTAAACATACGATGTATTCCCTCTTATCATAAAACCTCACTCCGGACAGGACCCTTAATTCTCAATGCTATCAGTAAATGTCAATTAATTATTATAATCTATTTATATAGCGCTGATTTGCAGATAGGCTCCTCACACGTGCTTTTGTTTTTTCCGCTTGATCATAGGATGTCAATCTCAACTCCCTGGGAAGTATACAACTCTTGCAGCGACAAGGCGCATCAAGTTAATGTGGCTTTCTCATCCTTTCGAGGTACCCATTCACAGCTAGGTGGACTGGGACACATAGTCACAGTACTTTGTCCAAGTTTACTGCACGTTGCTGTACCCGCAACTAGGTGTTTGTTCGTATTCATGTGACCACCATCTGGTCATATACCAACGGATTCGTGGGTTCTTTTAAGTGTACAGGATTGTGTACTGTACACTAGTGGTTGTGACAACACTGACAGAGTCTGCACACAAAGTAACAGTTGACTACAAGATTTTTACACCCGGTCACAGGTGGGCTCGATCCCTTCACCTTAAGCTCGCTGAATCACTAGCCTGGCGCCTTAGACAGCTAGTCCACCATGTCCCATACATTTTGGCAGATCTTACTTATGTACATAGGTCAGTGGCCTTGTACCACATGGGTAATGGCCCCATCTATAAAACCTGACTGATTAGTCTAGGAGACGGGCCCAGATCATCGATAGAAGTGTACGGATTGTGCGGCTAGTCGGGGCTTCGGCTAAGGCCATCGTCTCACCACCGACTACGTCGACGATGAAGAATTGCCGTCTGACTTCTGCATGTGTGTTGGTGACAGAGCGGATATCCCTGGGAACATTGGCCACTCGGTCCCGGTGTGAGATCTGTCACGTGATATCTATCAACTTCTACCATTTTGAACCCATTTCCCCCAACTATAATAAACATGGCTGCTGTCGTTATAAATTCCTCGACTTCCGTATTCCGTCCCTTGTTCACCACCTAAACTACCTACCGAGACAACGATACTAACGATCTTGAACTGGCGCAAACTGAAGTGGTGGGAAAATTACTAAACATGGGCGCCGCGATGTTGCTGGAATATTGTAACAAGCCGTGTAAGACTAAACTCACTCACTCACTAAACAATGACTTCACTGAAGCTTGATATTCACGTAATGAATCTCATAGCAAGCTGTCCTTATGACAGGAAATAACTGATTATGAAATCCACAGTTATCATTTTTGTGGACATGGAACTTCCTGAATCCTGGTCATGGACGTCTTTCAATATTTTCAGTTTGCTGATGCAGTCATCCCTCTTGTCACAAAATCCGTGGTATTCCACGAGAAACTGTCTGACTTTCGACAGTTCCCCTGATGACACCATGTTGGCTAGTGACGGCCATTCTGAAGTTTCGATGTCCATCTTCAAGACATCAATGTATTTCTGGAAAACAAACAGAGAGGCTTTAATGTATTAAACGACATCCTTACAAATTTCTTGACAATATCAGGAACAGCAAAGCAGTGAGTGAGTGAGTTTAGTTTTGCGCCGCCATCAGCAATATTCCAGCAATATGATGGCGGGGGACACCAGGAATTTGTTTCGCACTTTGTACCCATGTGGGGAATCGAACCCGGGTTTTCAAGGTGATAAGAGGACACTTTAACCACTAGGCTACCCCACCTGCCCCGAATACTAAGGAATAAACTGAAGATGTTGTTGAGATGGGATAGAATCACACACCAGGTGCGTAATAAAATAAACCAAAATGGCCGCCTTTTTCTTCTATTTACCCATCTCTACACCAATAAGGTTTGTTGTGTTGTGTTGTGTTGTCCTCAAGGGTTGACATTTATGTATAGTTGGGTCTTGTTGTACTAGTGCTGACGTGTGTCTGCTTGGTAGTGTAGCCAAATTAAAGAGCAGTTCGGCAGGGTGTCGATTAACCCTTAATTTGTCCCTTTTTGCAGTAAGAGGCGACTAACGGGATCGGGTGGTCAGACTTGCTGACTGTGTTGACACGTGTCATCGTATCCCAATTGAGTAGATCTATGTTCGTTCTGTTGATAACTGGATTGTCTGGTCCAGACCCGATTATTTAAAGAATGCCGCCATATAGCTGGAATATTGCTGAGTGCGGCGTAAAACTAAACTCACACACACTCCATTTTTCTGAGCGCCAGTTAGGGTAACAACAAGTCACACGGTAATCACAACATTTTTGTGGAAGCTTAGTCGGTTAGATCGTTACTTTAATATAATTTTATTTTATGTTAAAGATCGCGACCGACTATATGACATGTAAACAAAATGGCGTCTGCCTCTCGACTGTGAAACATATTCTGACAAGCTTAAAACGGCTATAGAAATTGTTAAAGGTCACATGCAACCAAAAATCAAACATAATTAAAACACAATTATCACTTATTCATGACATATAATATACATTGCTGGTTATGAAAAAGCATATAAACAAAAACTATAAGCGTACAATCGCAAATCAAAAGTGCAATATATTGTGTACATCGGGTTTACTTCCCAAGAAACGAAGCAGCCGGGATACCGAACCCAGTCAGAGCGGGTGGATGTGTACTCAAGTGTAACGGCTGGTTCATTTGCAGATGCCCTTACGGATCATTGTGTGTGTATATATAGAGATGTTGGGTTTTGTAAATACATGCTCATTTTTTGTGTATAACATTTTGCAATCAACAGACATCATAACATGTCATGTGTTCAAGTATCACACCTGCCTGTCTGTGTAATTACATAATGTGACAGAGACCGAACTCGGGCCATAAATCAATGCATTTTGTTTATGGTGTACAGCCTGATTGGTGTTAAGTTACAAATTGCATGTGGTCAGTGATAGCAGCTGTGTATTGAATATTGTCATTAGCAGACAGGCAGGCAGACACACAGGTGTCAATAAAACAAGACATTGAGTTTAGTCTGTGACAACGACATATCTATATCACAGCTGGAAATTCTGTCAACGCTAAATAATGGCATTGCTTTTAAGTATCGAACTGAGAAAGTGACTCGGTAAGAAGAACGTGTGGTGAAATAGACAAATGAAATTATATAAACAGTTAATTTACTGTCATAACATATAAAAAGCTCGCGCCTGTGAGATATCAACAAAACATTAGAAAAATAGCTCACACCAAAGCCTTCACCGAGTATTCACCGGACAACCGCTTCCAAGCTGCGCGAACCTACTTCACTGCGCACGTGCTATAAGCGCAGCCCAGCTGTTGAAACCCGTTTTCCCCAGAAAAGTCTGGGGAAAATTAGTGAAACGTTTGAACTCCGATTTCGCGCGTTTTTTTCATCGCGTTATTTTTCAACTTTATAAGTTGAATTTGCATTTTTGACGATTTGTTTCGGTAAGTCCATACCGAAAGGTATCAGAATCTGCAAAGTTGTGTTTTACGTTGCATGTGACCTTTAATTATGTTTAAGCTGAGTGTGCAAACCACTCAATGTATAAAATAGCTTAAGTAAAGCAGGAAAGTCGGTAAAATAAATCTGTACAAAGTGAACACAAAAACAGCTGATCGAACGGTTTTCGAACTCCGGGCACGGCATGCGTCATATTAATAAGTCATACGATTGTTAGCGCTCCAGCTTCTCGGCGAAGAGCTTGGCGGTTACCGTGGCAGCGGGTAATATTTTTCCAGTTGTCACCCTCCTGGGAGGGTGACACGGAAAAGTGTTAAAGCGTCATTGACCAGTGAAATTAAAGTATTTTACATGAAGGTAAGATAAAGTACGTGATCTGAACTTCCATGTTTGGAAGCTGAGTGGGTTGGATCGTTGACTTTCTGAGCAGGCGATTTAGGTGAGTCGCTCCGAGTGTTTTGGTTTAAATTCCGGATGGGATTCAACCCACAAATGTACTCAGATCTGTACTTTACTAGGAAAGTGTAATTCCAAATATAACATATGTTCGATATATTGTGAAAATTGTGGATTGTCTGTAGGTTCAAAGCCGTGTCTTTACACCATCAAAGGGACCAAGAAACCTTTTGTGATTAAGAGTGCAGGTCCTAGTGACTTACACTAACGAGGTGACCGAATGGGCTGCTTGTTAGTACAGTTCATCGTATCCTGATGGCGTGCTAATCACTGGATTGTCTGACCCAGGCTCGATTATTTACTGACCGCCATCATATAGCTGGGATGTTTCTGCATGCGGCTTTTAAACTGGCCCATAGATCATTCAAATCGAGGCCCCATTTGCCGATTATTTAATTATGATTTCGTGATTATAATGTCGCGAAAATGACCTGTGTTGAGACATTAAAACCAACTTCCAACTCTGGAACCTGAGTGGACCCAGCCGGAAGTACGTGATGAAGAATACCAGTTGTGGGAGCTGGGATGGCTGAGGGGGTTAGATCGCTGATTTCCTATGGCGATTTGGTGTCTAACTCTGTGAACGTGGTTTCGAAGCGCAGATCGGACCCATCCCCAACAAATTAACACCCCAACTTTAACACTTGTTACGTTTGACCACTTTCTAAATGACACATAGTATAGAGTATGTGAAGATTCCTAGTTCATGGGGAGCTAATTTCCGAATATTTGTAAAAGATATTTCAGATTATTCAAAATGTCACTGACCCTGGTGTGGTTCAACATTTTCTTGATGGTCGTCAATGTCTGTAACTCCCAGGAGTTCTTCTTATAATCCTTTCCGTCAAGGCCTGATTTAAAACCGGACACGTGGCGACCTCTGGTAGGATGCCTCGGTCATACTGAAATATGATTATTATCACTATTATTACTATAATACAGCATCAACGCTAATAGACGATGTTTATGACACAGTTTGTCCAAATATCACCAATAATGATTGATACACACAAATGGTAAACTCTCCGCAAGTCAGGTATGTTATTCGTAATATTTGTTGGTGCGTGTGATGTACACGTAGCTATGTCATCCGACCCGTTTGTGTGTGTGTGGTGTGAGGTATCGAGCCTTACGGCTCAGGGTACACAAGGGTACATACTGGTACACAAGGGTACATACTGGTACACACATGGTACATCACATAGGCGCTCATTGATCGGATGAACACGAATAAATTTTACCGACATTCTTTCTCTCAGTTCCAAACATACGTCCGCATATTCATTGCATTAAGAAAACAAGTAGCAGAACGAACCGAACGTACCTCCATGTACCCAACGCATCTGAAGAACATCGGTTAATCCAGAAACCCAACGATACGTATTTCAGATAAACAATTACCCAAGCTGCGCTGCGATTTGTTCCCTCGCACGTGAGCAGGGTATATGGAAATTATATACCTGCACCTTTCTGATGTTTCTAATCTGATATTTTTAATGTATGATTACATTCTGAACAATCAGTGGGTATGACAATCAAAGAACATTTTTGTTGCTTCAGTGGTTATCAGCAGTTTCTGGCTTAGAAAGAAAGTCACCGCATATATCACCTATCCAAATCGTTGGATCTCCAGTTTTCGCCAAAATAACCCCCCAAAAACCAAAAAACAAAAACAAAATAACAACACAAAACAACACACCCCAATACTGTTCGTTGAATGTGACGAACATAGGTAAAAGAATGTTGTGGAATTCTTGTTTTGGCACCTCCTTCGACAGATAATACGTGAATATAATTTCACTCCGCTTTTAGCAATATTCCAGCAATATCATTGTACCCATGTAAGAAACATCAAACGAATGAAGGAACAAAGGAAAGAAAGAACAAACGAACAAAAACGAACGAACCAGTACATAATGTACCAGCAGAGATTAACAAGCGTATATACAAACCTCGGATCAAAGGAAGAGACATCACACTCATAGTGTTTGGCCGTGTCATCGTCAAAAGAAAAATCGTTGTTGATTCTGTATTAATAGAAAAAACATCATTACTGATGCTCCAATTGACCACTTTCTAAATGGCATAGTATATTCATGAAGAAACATTGCCACAGCAGTTTCGCGTAATATCCGTAAAATCTTTTATTTTTTTATTGGGTAGGTACATCTTGTTGACAGCCTAATGAAAGCGAAGGATGCACGGACCCTTGACACAATCACAACACAGATCTGAAAAAGGCCAACACGGTATAACTGAATATTTGAGGCCATTTGAAAAACATTCATTCGTTAATGCTCCACATTCAAATTCGAGTTTCCTCATTACCTCGCATGCATCATTAAAATAATACTCTGATGCCCGAAATAGAATTTATTTTATGGATGATGAAATCCCGAAATGGATGATGTGGTGTCTTTGTACTTTGGCGTCTGTGTCTTAGACTAATACGTATTCCAGTCAGTTGACTACTCACCCAAACGAGTACACGATACAGGGCTTTACTGGACTGTATTCGGGCGTCTTGTGTCTCCAGTCAGACTACTCACCCAAACGAATACACGATACAAATACGAATTCCAGTCAGTATTCCACTCACTACCACCCAAACGAGTACACGATACAGGGCTTTACTGGACTGTATTCGGCGTCTGTGTCTTAGACTAAAACGTATTCCAGTCAGTTGACTACTCACCCAAACGAGTACACGATACAAGGCTTTACTGGACTGTATTCGGCGTCTGTGTCTTAGACTAATACGAATTCCAGTCAGTTGACCACTCACCCAAACGAGTACACGATACAGGGCTTTACTGGACTGTATTCGGCGTCTGTGTCTTAGACTAATAGGTATTCCAGTCAGTTGACTACTCACCCAAACGAGTACACGATACAGGGCTTTACTGGACTGTATTCGGCGTCTGTGTCTTAGACTAATACGTATTCCAGTCAGTTGACCACTCACCCAAACGAGTACACGATACAGGGCTTTACTGGACTGTATTCGGCGTCTGTGTCTTAGACAAAAACGTATTCCAGTCAGTTGACTACTCACCCAAACGAGTACACGATACAAGGCTTTACTGGACTGTATTCGGCGTCTGTGTCTTAGACTAATACGTATTCCAGTCAGTTGACCACTCACCCAAACGAGTACACGATACAGGGCTTTACTGGACTGTATTCGGCGTCTGTGTCTGAGACTAATAGGTATTCCAGTCAGTTGACTACTCACCCAAACGAGTACACGATACAGGGCTTTACTGGACTGTATTCGGCGTCTGTGTCTTAGACTAATACGAATTCCAGTCAGTTTCCAACTCCACCCAAACGAGTACACGATACAGGGCTTTACTGGACTGTATTCGGCGTCTGTGTCTGAGACTAATAGGTATTCCAGTCAGTTGACTACTCACCCAAACGAGTACACGATACAGGGCTTTACTGGACTGTATTCGGCGTCTGTGTCTTAGACTAATAGGTATTCCAGTCAGTTGACTACTCTCACCCAAACGAGTACACGATACAGGGCTTTACTGGACTGTATTCGGCGTCTGTGTCTTAGACTAATACGTATTCCAGTCAGTTGACTACTCACCCAAACGAGTACACGATACAGGGCTTTACTGGACTGTATTCGGCGTCTGTGTCTTAGACTAATAGGTATTCCAGTCAGCTGACTACTCACCCAAACGAGTACACGATACAGGGCTTTACTGGTCGGTAGTTGGCATCGTCACAGATCTCCCAGCCTCCATCTCCAAGTTTGCCCATGCGCAGCTTCCGGTAGCACATTGTATCTACGTTGTCAAGGTAACTAAATAACCAATAGTGTCAGACATTAGTATTCATATAGTCATTAATTATTGAGGTTGTCAATCACAGGATTATGGTCAAGAATGCTTACTAGCCCACTTTATACAACTAATATATTTCTGGGCCAACAAATCCCACAAAACGCCACCATCGGTTCCACTGTGTCACCTCCCATTGTCACGAAACCCAAAACAGCCTTCCAAACAAATCAATAAGCGAGAAATATTCTGTGCTGAATATGTCACTAAAAATGACAAGGTCATCACGTCATTTCCGGTACGGAGATATCTTTGCGAATGCGTATAGCGTGTTGTAATACTTTGATATGATAGATCATCTTCGCTAATCCAGTGCATATTATCAGTATTTCATGTTGATAAATAGAAGATTCATTGTCATTTGGGAATATATACCATTCGAAATCTTACGTGTATTTCGTTTGTACAATGTTTACCATTGTGAACCGATACAAACAACCTGTTAACGCCTTTTGGGCATATTTATTTGGTTTTTGAAAACAAATACTCTAACAGAATTATGCAGAATAATTGAAACTATGGTAAATGCAACAAATTCTGTGTTATTGGGTGACCATGTTTGGCAGCTTGAGTACTGAGGGTTTTTAGGACTTCAGTTCTGGGCCCAGATTTTCGAAACTCTCTTAGCGCTAAGATAGTCGTAAGTTAATGTTAATGTATGGCACTTGCGACTATCTTAGCGCTAAGAGAGTTTCGAACAACTAAGCACATGTGATACATGTGGTCTCACCTTAGGCAAGTAAGTTTGTTATAAAATGCCTCTGTCCACCAGCAGTTAAATTTGGTACCGGTTGTATTCTCCACAGGAGTGTTCTGTACTCGTTGTCCAGGGGTAATATGGTAATATAGTAATGTCTGGTACAATTTCACAAATGTTTAGTTTTAGAGTGCAACAGCGAAAAACCCTCACTAAATTTAATATGCATACTTACGTAAATGCGGTATGACATAGGTTTTTATGTCACAGATAAATGGTTAAATGCAAAATACCCCCGAACCAATTCGCTCAAAAGTTTCGTATCGGAAGTGACGTAACAACTCGATCGTTCGTATAGCGCCATTCGTAACCCACTTATACATTCGTGACCAACTCGTGCTATTCCGGGACAAGCCGAATAGCGAGCGACTCGTGCCCCTCTGGAAGGATTTCAGATTTGCGTAGCACCTCTTTGTTTGATTCCAGTGGTACTTAATATCACCGAAGTAATAATAATAATAATAATTCACTTGTATAGCGCCTGGTATCCATCTGTCTAGTGCATATGTAGAAGTATATTGTATTGCTGTAAACCCAATGTTAAAGATTTAATTTCATCGGTTTTATATAATATATTTTATTTAATCTCGTAACGATCTTTAATTAAATTTCCTAAAATGTCGGAAAGCGGACGTAAAATCTCCAAAACCAGTCCGCAAGATCGCCAGAAATCGCCATCTGAGAGCCGAACACTTGGGCTCATTTTCAGTTTAAATGGAGTTAGGTATCTGTTTCTGTCAAATTACAAAGAGAATAAACGTTAGTGTTACGTGCAGGATCCTGTACCTATCGGCAGAAACATGCCCCAGTAATGCTTAGTATATTATATATAGCTTGTCTTCTTTGATGGGCATATTTTAGAAGTTGAGGTGATGAAGAATGATGTTAATATTATGGCTATACAACTTCTTTGTTTTGTGGAAGGCGACGTTTCGATATAGATTCTAATGTCGTTTTCGAACGAGTGACACATGAGTAAAATGTTGAGAGGATAAATACATGTGTTGTATATACAATAGATGAGGTTGATGAACAAAGCTTGTATAAGAGATTATAGTCTGTTTGCAGTGAAAACGTACCAATGAATTTCACTTTAAGTAAAAAGGAAAATCAAATATAGTGAAATTAAGATTGCGAATCCTCATAATTATACCTTGCCAACTGAACATTTAAATCTCAGAATTTTGTTCATCTTAGGATAAAAGTTGTTTAACCAGCTATCATAGATTAAAATCGCTTTTATTGGTTTGTATTACAAGGGCTGTCTCTTCTAGATGGGTCATGTAGATCTCGGTGATGAGGGGGGAGAGTCCCATGGGTCTGTTGAAATATGTTATCTGGTTCATTTCAGAAGACATCAGCTCAATCACCTTGTTGATTGCATAGGGCCTCTAACTGTCCTACCTGGTTATAATGCCACCCTGGATATGCCATGTCTTCTCCTGGACAAACGGTGGCATTATAACCAGGGTATACTGTACCTATTAGTAATGTAGCTTTGAAAAAGTTGCAAACACAAATAATTATACAGATGTTTTGTTTCTTATTGAATACAGGAATCATGTATTAGATAGTCATGTTAGTTCAAATGCTCAACTTTCATGATTGACAAATGACACAATGTAAGTCGTCAATTACAGCTCTATCTTACGGTACCCATGTGGGGAATCAAACCCGGGTTTTCAGCGTGAAGAGGGGACGCTGTAACCATGAAGCTACCCCACCGTCCCCTTTAAGAAATGGACTGGTGTAATGAGTTGAGAATGTCAATATTAGTTGAGTTATTAAATGCGACGTTACCGTATAAAGTAGTTTTAACATCATATCCTTGAATATAAACATACACAGTTGTTCTCAAATTTTGATAGTTCCGACATGTAAAATGGTAGTGAATAACGTCTTCGTTATAATGACCACATGAACTCTAGGATATAAGTCGATTATATCTGTCTACGTTTACATCACGACAGACGAGTTTTAGGTGACAATGGATTATTTGGCAAAATATTGTCCCAAAATTTAAATCAAAATAATTGTGAGTTTCCGTTAGGAGGAGGAGGAGAAGAAAACAACAACAACAACTTTATTACCCCAAATTGGAATTTGCAGTAAACCATCACAGGGCACACATATGAATATACGATAAATAAGATAAATAAAAGGACGTTTCTCATACGTAAATGTACTGTACAATAAATTATTGAACACGTTTTAAGAATATGATGAATATAACAACAACAATATACACATACAGGTAAACTTCCCGTGTGTGAGCTCTAAGGCTGTCGGTCGACACAGCGCAGCCCCTCCTACTTGAAGTGTAAAGTTTACACAAAGTGTACAGTGCAATGCAAGCATATGCAGTGCGTGTAACACATTTACCCAGGGCAAATTTAGGGGACCCGTTTCACTTTCGCCTTTAAAACCCATAAACTTTGAAAATAATGGACTTGTCGCAGAGATGAATTTCATTGTCTCATGTACCGCGTCAGTACATCGATTGGCTATATTTGATGTGACGTCAGAATTGCACGTGCTTCCCGTCAATTTTTAAAATTATTTTCAATTCTTTATTCTCATAAATTAAACCACCTTGGTGGTACAAAAGCATATATTGTAAACATATATACAAATACAAATTCAAATTCACGGTGGCAGTAAACAACATATTAACATTTTCTTCTGACGAGTCGATAGATGTAGGATATATTTTGGTAGATTTACTATGTGTCGAGATGTTTTTACAAATAATAGTTTCGTGAACTTTGTTTCATTGGGAAGAGAGGTTAGATGGGAGGGTAAATACTGTTTCCTCAAAGCATCTAATGCTTTGCAATGAAAAAAATAATGATATTCACCTGCGATGCTTTTAGAAGTGTATAGTTGACACGTTCTCTCGTCCCTTGGAATATTACGCCTAAAAAAATATATGTCTTGTTTCTGGTTTCCGCCCTCGTCGGTTTCAACCCAGCGCGTCAAGCGTTTTTTCCGGATTATAAATGGGCAAAGGGAGTGTGTACGATTAGCTGATCACTTATCAGTACTTTCTGCTGAACTTGCAGCAATCATTGAAGCTTGGAATCATATTTTGAGACCTGTTTCGGCGGTCATTTTCAGCGATTTTGTCAGTGCTTTACAAGCAGTTCAGACAGGTTTCTCCTCAGCATATTATTAGCATATTATTATACTCGACACTTTAATGAATTAGGTAAAGATCTTTTAAATGTAGAATTTTCATGGATACCTGCTCATATGGGACTATTTGGAAATGAAAAGCTGATAAATTGGCAAAAGCTGCATTAGACTTTGGTGGATCAGAACAGGATGAGACAATATTGCCCTCTCCTGCAGAATTATGCACCGGCAGCAGGACCCATGCTCAAACGAAATGGCAACAGAGATGGACCTCATCCTTAAAAGGACGCCATCTGTATGGCATCGAGCGTTTTGTAACTAAATCCAAATTATCAAGAAGCAACCGTAGAGAAGAGGTTCTTTTAACCAGACTTCGACTTGGGCATTGTGGTCTTGGTGCATATCTAAATATTATTAATAAAGATATTTCTGCAAATTGCACAGTGTGTAATAAGCTAGATAATGTGGCTCATTATTAACTGCATTGCCAAAAATATGTAAATCAACGTAAGGCGATGGTGGAATCTCTTACATCTCACAATATTAACATCTCATTGGCTGGACTTGTGCTCAAGGAATATCGTTCACCATGAAGTTCAGAATGTCATTATGGTTATATTAAAGCATGTGGCAGCTTTACTACTATATAAAAGTTTAGCAACTTAGCAAACCTTTATGATGGGCAAGGTTTAAATGGACCCTGTTGCCCGAACACCGAATTAAACTTTTAATTATCTATCTGTCAGTCAGTCAGTCTGTCTGTCGTAACTGGGGAAAGCGTGCAGCAGGGAAAACCAAAATGCTACTTGTTTCAGTTCAAATAGAGTGTGGGGTAAGATTATAAGGTCGTTTGGCTTTGTGGAATGTAGTCTAGATGCATCGCGCACTTGATTTATACTGAGTCACTGAGGAAAGGGCATTTTTCGACCTGTGACAAGTTTGTTTTACCAGCTGAGTATGATGACTGCGTGGTCGCGGTTTCAGTTGGAGATAAACAATCTGGTCAATTCCAGTCAGTTCCATGGACCGTAAACTTGAATGACACCTGGGAATTTGGTAAATACATGGTTTACCACTTACAATTCAGCGATGACAAGGCGCAAGGAACGCATTTGCCAAAGGAAAATGCCTTTCAAGCTCTTATGAAGTCGCAAGTTTCCAAAGTTTGGTAAGCATTCAGGCCCATACATAGACCAAATAGACGTTTTGAACTGCACAACAGTATCATAAGATGGCTACAAGAAATATATTTTCATAAATATAAGTAGTCCTAAGTATCTATATATTAATTTGAATTTCATTTCAAATTTTAACAAATACATAAATATTTCACTGTAATATTCTAAATTACTTTCAAACAATGTATAATCATCTCATGGATAAATAAATATTAAAATCTAATTCATTGTTTTTATTTTTCCTTTGATATTTCAGACAAATAAATTGACAAAATATAAAAGTTTCCCATTGCAATAGTATAAAAGTATACACATCCTTCAATTCGTTATTTCATATGTACATTTTAAACTTGCCTGCTACTAGGCGATGGCCTTTGGATGGTTGATCCCCATACAACAAAATTGAAGCTGCAGCAGTGTATGCTGCCACCAGAGTTTGATATTTTTCAAGGGTACGACATCCCCCCACAGTCACCAACATGTCCCTAAAAACCTCCCAGCAGATGAACCACCAGTTCTTTTTTATTGCTTTCTGCGAAGAACAAGTAGCATCATTATTAAACAAACGACATTGTGAAAAAATAAAAAAGTCGCGTCATCGCATCATTTTAGTCTGTATGCATATACCAGAAACATTTATTTTTTCTTGGCCTTATACCAGCGGCCCGTCTAGATAGGTAAACTATGGTTACATGTTCTAAATCTCAATAATGGTAAAGAAATGCGTTTTGGAAGGAGGAGATATACATCAAACTTGCGAAATGGCTTTAGGTGCTGATAGTGTATTCCCTTGGGATTAGAAATAATGGCATTGTGCCAGTTTAGGATAAATTGATCTTTAAGAATATATTCAACTTTTGAGATCAGCCACTGGGTTGTACAAATTGAGGGGTTTTCAAAACCGGGGAGTCCAGTATTGTCTAATATATTTTTAACGTGCGAGAGCCAGGGATTATCTTTTTTATTTATTGTTCTTTGAAGTGATAAATACTTGTAACTTAAGTTCGTAAGCTTAAAAACACCTTCTTGGTAAGTTAACTTATGCCAAAAGATTAATAAACATTTATATATCATAATTCTAATAGGGAATCTTCCTAGTTCCCCATACAGCATAAAACGAGGGGTTGAATTTCTTAATCCTGTAATGAGTCATAAGAATGTTAAATGGATTTTCTAAAAATTTCAAGGTTTTCGAAAGACCAGACTTCTGCAACATAGGTCCAGATAGGTACTACCATTAAGTCAAATGCTAACAATAAACAGTCTAAAGGCAAGTCTAATATTCTAGCTTTTTTTTCACTAAACTATACATTGCTTTTTGAGGCACTATTGCTTACAGTTTTAATACTTGATACGAGTTTTCTATTTTTTTTATGAAGTGTTATACTGAGGTAGGTATAACTATCAACTATTTCAAGTAATTTCCCATCCAAATGAAATATAATTTTGTGCTTTTGATGGTCCTCCCCGAATATTACTAGTTTAGTTTTGTTTATATTCACTTTTAGCTTTCATGAATCACAATAGTCCTTAAATGAGTTCAAAGCATCTTGTAGTCCCTTTGACGATTCATCAAATAATATTGTATCATCTGCATATAATAAAATTAACAACTTTACAAATATCACCAATTCGTCGTCTTCAATATAGTTTAGATTTACACCATTACAGTCTGCAGTAAGTAAATGAGATTCAATATCATTTATGAAAATGGAGAATAATAATGGTGACAGATTTTCCCCTTTTCTGACGCCGTTGTTACATGAGAAGTAGTTTGATACATCATTATTACATTGTACAAGCGATTTGATATTGCTATACATCGATTTAACAAGATTCAGGAATTTACCCTCTATACCAATCGTTTTCATGTTTTTCCACAATCCCACTCGCCAAACAGTATCGACAGCTTTTGTAAATTCTATAAAGGCACAATAGAGTTTTTTATTCCTATCTTTCAAAATTTGCATCAGATTATAAATTAAAAATACATTGTCAACAGTGGAGAATGATTTTCTAAACCAGGCTTGGGCAGGTGTTAAAACATTATTAGTATCTAAGAAATCTGAAAGGCGGTTGTTTAATATTTTAGTGAACAATATATACAATACCTAAGTAAACATCTTCTTGAACATCAAATATGGATTTACATATTTTTATCCATAATATGGATTAAACAAATACAAATTATTAATGACTGTCACATATTTTTCGTATTTACGTCTAAAAGCAACGCCAATACCACTGGAATTCCTTGATGATGTCTTTCTGTTTTGGAGAAATAGCTTATAACCATGGATATCAATATCGTCTAAGGTATCAGTGTTTGTTTCTTGAAATCCTACAATGTCATTGTTTGATAGAATTTCTTGTAATTCTGTGTAATCTAAGCGTTTTTTCAGACCACATTCATTTAAGGAGAGTAATTATAGAGTGTCATTTGAATTATTAGAATCATCGTCATCACCATCATCATCGTCATCATCATCGGCAACATCATCATTGTCAACAACATGATCAACATCATCATCAACATTATCATCAGTTTTCTCATTATCGTTGTCACCATTCTGGAAAGCATATTATTTACATGTAATTCATCTGGAATAGCTGACATATTTTGGCATGTTTAAAATGGTCAATGTTTACATGGTAGTCATCATCATCATCAACAACATCATCATCATCATTATCATTGTCAACAACATCATCATCATCATCATCAGTATTTCCATTAGCATTTTCATCATTATATGACCATTCTGAATAGCATTATGTACAATATTGTCCACATGTAATTTACTTAGTATATCTGATTTAGTTTTGGCATGTTCCAAAAGATCAGTGTTTACATAGCAGTCAGTATCATCATCATTGTCAACAACAACGTCATCATCATCAACATCATCATTATCATCATCATCAACCGTCATTGAGGCTGTTCCTGCAACAGTTTACTGTTACCTTGCCCTCGTAAAACGTCACACGAAAAATCAAAACAAAGAGATGATAGATTGTTAAGTAACTTTTTGATTTTGGAGCCAAAGGCTATGAAACCTTTTTTTCCAGAGTTGAAATGAATGTTTGATCATGAACCAAATTTGAGTTAGATTGTGATCCATCAGCGTCAATTTGACCCAAACAGACTTTAGTGCTAACATAAGAAAACATACAAATTGTTATACTAGTATTTAAAACAAGTATACTGTACCTGTTGTATGTTCTAAACGCTTGACCGACGGTCATTTTCGCTATTGCAGCTTTCTCCGGTAGAACAATCTGAATCAAAGAAACACATGTCGTAATTTATAATGATCAAAGATACTGGTCAAGACTCACTTTCACGATCTATTGAGGCAGAATGTCTGAGTGTTACAGCAGTAAAACAATATAGGATATAGCTCCGCTTTTAAATCAAGGTGTCTGTTGGCAATTGCACCCTTGAAAATATTTATATGTTATTTAACGAAGCACTGACACCAGAGTGAGTGAGTTGAGTTTTACGCCGCACTCAGCAATATTCCAGTTATATGGCGGCGGTCTGTAAATAATCGAGTCTGGACAAGACCATCCAGTGATCAACAGTATGAACATCGATCTGCGCAATTGGCAACCGCAGTAGTTGGAACAGTGAAACAAAAACGTGCGGTGCGTGATGAGTGTTAAAATACACTACCGTAGAAACCAACCTTTCTTGTTTTCGGGGTTTCCTTTAATGTGCATACCCCAATACAAACCAATAATAGCGATTTGAAACTATGACCGTTTGTCAAACAACTTTTATCCTAAGTTCAATAAAATTCTGAGATTTAAGTCTGAGGAGAACAATGAGTGAGTTTAGTTTACACCGCACTCAGCAATATTCCAGCTATATGGCAGCGGCGTGTAAATAATCGAGTCTGGACCAGACAAACCAGTGATCAACAGCATGAGCATCGATTTACGCATTTGGGATACGATGACACGTGTGAACCCAGTCAGCGAGTCTGACCTCCCGATCCCGTTAGACGCATCTTACTGCAAAAGGGACAAATTAAGGGTTAATCGACACCCTGCCGAACTGGACTATAACATTAGACTTGACAATTACTGTTTGAACAAAGCACTGCAAGCTTAAACCACTGCGTTGACATATATGATCACTAAAACAGTTGTAAAGGACTGTTGTAAATAGAGTATCAGACAGTAAATACATTTTGGCAGGTAATATTTTGAAATTACCAGGCTTGATGTGTGGCTGAAGTTTTGTTTTATTTCATACACTGAGTCTTGTCTATAATCCGACACGCGCAGAAACCCCGGGTATGAACTACGAAAGCTGACACAAAGGAATATAAATGTGAAGAAAGACAAAGGTGAAACTTGATAAGATCGTATTCGCGACGTACATTACGGATTACACAGCGACGTTCATAAAGAGAAAAAGCAGGTTGAAGAAGGAGGTGAAGGAGTTTGTGTTCTTTGTTGGTCAACAATTCCTCGCTCTAGTTAAAGTATAGGCTAATTATTTCCAGTGGAATGTTGCAAAACTGGTTTGATGCCTATCACCATTCACAACGCACACTGCAGGGTATTGTACGACATGCTTTAAAGCTAAAATTAAATTACATCGGGGGCTTACAATACAATTGTCACCTGCATGGGCCCCAGCAGGAATTACATCTCCTTAGGTGTTGACGACTATTGACAAATTCAGCCAAATGAAAGGAACATATACTAAGCAGCAAAAGAAACGTCAGTTTGGAATTTTCCTTCGCGGAAACGGATAACTGTAAACTCATTTAATGTTTTGATTGTATATTTCTGACAACATCCCCTTTTTTTACCTGAGCAAGAAGTTCCTTCCCAAACTCAGAATGGAACCTAGAAAATGGTCTCAAAACGCAACCTGATCTCGGAGATGGTACGGTGTTCTCCATGTTTTTCATGCAACTCATGCTGCACGTGCTGTTCACAAAGACCAGCCCTATAAAATGCACCCCCAACCTGGTTGAAACATTCACATTACAACGTCAGCAGGATGCCCCTTTTGTGGACAGGTCAGAGGAACCAGGCGCTAGGAAGACTTGAAGCTGGCCACACTGCACAAGCAGCAGCAACGTTTCCGGGTCAACAACACCACAAATGATCGCCCCGTACTGGCAGACCAAGGGTGACCACAAGACAACAAGACCGCCATGTTGTGCGACAGTATGTACAGAATCCCTTCATGCAGGCATCCGAAACAGCACGCCAGACAGTGAATCATAAGGAAGACCCAACAATACTGACACAGTACGCCGACGTCTTAACAGCGGGAACCTCCATTGTCGTAGACCTTACCGTGGACCTATCCTCACCCCTCGTCATCGGCGTGAACGTCTACAGTTTGCCTTAATGGATTCCTAATATGGATCCCTGACAAAGTATGCTTGGCTCCATTTAAAGGATTCTAAGTATCAATATCGGGCCAGGTATCAACAAGTGCTTTACTCTCTTTGGGAATTCCAAATAATCCATCCTTACTCCATTGTCCGGTACGACAAAGCATGCACCACAAAACAGAAATAAATCAATCATATTTCTCAATATCCATTTCCATGATTTCAAATTATTTCTTTTTGTTGCGTAGTTTCTTTAGTGTTTGCATCTCAGGGATTCTAAGTATGCTGTTCGAGTCGATATTTAGAATTACAGTCGAGCACCGTTGTCTCGATATTCATGGAAAAATCCAAGAAACAATATCGAGTCATCCGACATCCGATCAGGGCATATCATGGCATACCACTACTATGAAAGAAAACAAAACGCTTCTCAGTATGTTTTGATTCGAAACTATATTAATCGATTATCAGTAGTGTTTAGTCGGAACAGTGAGTACTTCCTTCTTAGTTAATCCTAATCAAATAACAAACAAGTGACCCCTTCAACTCAATTAACCCTGATTAGTTTACACTACCGCACCCCTTTGATTCATGCCGCACCGTGTGTAAACGTGGGGAAACAACCTCAGTCCAGAGGGATGCTTGCCCACGAAAAGTAGGTGAAAATCTAGTTTCTTTGCAAATATTGAGTTAATGGGGTAATTTTGATTGTTGGGACCATGGAATTATATCGAGATATCCGAAATATTGAGACATCCGTATCGAGTTAAAAGAGCTTGAATAATGATAAATTATGAAGGATTTTTGCCGGAACCGAGATGTTATATCGAGACAACCGAGTTATCAGAGTTCGACACAATGGTGCTCGACTGTAGTTTTAGTCATGACATGACTGAAATATTGCCGATGTGGCAATAAATTTTGACTCCCTCACTCATTTCTTTTTATTGTTTACATTTCAGGGATTCTAAGAATGCTGTTCGCGTCCATATGTGATAAAATGTGTCAAATTAGATGAAAAATCAATCGCTCATCGATATTTGTTTTGAAATGAAGTACATATGGCATTATACATAGAATGGATAGGAAAACGTACGAATATTTTCTTCAACATGTATATATGAAAGGTTTCTTTCACAATTTTGGGTAGTCTAGATGTGAATGTACCTGCTGAATTGAAAGTCCATCCGTCTCACACAATTATTGTTAGAACAGGTCATTTCAAGCATAAAAATTACCATAACACACGTAAGATATAGTAGTACATTCCAAAGATAAAATATCAAAACAATATGGTTTGTAATAGATGAGGCAATGAAAACAAATCTTTTAACGTGAAACATTTTTCTTTACAAAATTTCCTTAAACAAGAATGACCTGTAAGTGGAGTGAGCGGATTTGCAGTATCTCAGCTGTGATAAATGTACTTCATAGATATATAGCCACGAGTAGACCGGTATTCGAACCCGGGTTTCCTGCACGCCCATAGTGATCGAGATGTCACCGTTTTATCCATGATGCAGTATGTGTGTGTGTGTGTGTGTGTGTGTGTGTGTGTTGTTAACAAACCATAAAAAGATCCGCGGAATCAGCCCACCAGCCATTAGTCACGGCATTTTGAAGCAAGGTAACTCTGCACGGCGAATTTTGGCACCATTTGCATCGACACCTTTGACCCTTCAAAATGGGATGATGCAAGGGGAATTTCATACCTGTCCCTGCTGACGGAGTTCTTTGAGTGGTCCATCCATGTTTCTTTCTGCATGCAACTCCCAGTCGGATTTTCTTTGCTGAAGTAAAGATAGGAATACAGTGCTTGTAGTTCTGGATGTTGAATAGTCAGGACTTTAAGAAAAAAATCATTTGTTTCTTTTCTGAATAGATGAATGGCACATTTTTTTATTACTGCAACAGAAATTCGTTCTGCAGTAAAATCTGTTTATCGTTCCAGACATTTTTGTTGTGGCTGTTGTTTGATTTTTCTAATGGCAAAAATTGCACATAAAGCTTATGATTAATAAATGGAGATTCTTTTAAATTACCGTTTTGTCCAGGATAGTCACCGGGGGATGTTCAGTGGTTGTATCCGTCCTAACTGCGACCTGATGCTGAAAAAAGAATTAATTCGGAATTTAAATGTTTTGATTTTTTTTTGAAAGATGCAATTTGATATATATAGGGATGCTCTCCTGCCGGTGGGCCATCTTTTCTGTTGTGAAAGGAATGGCTACTTTTCATCTGTGGGTATATACAGGAGTACAGTTTGATGTTTTGTGACGAGCAATATTCAATAAATAAAACAAATCATGACATGGAAAACATATGGATAATTTTTGAGACAAATAACCAAAATTGAATTTGATTTCAAGGCAGGACAACACATACTGCCCTTAGAATATTTTAATCTATTTATCCTTCTTTTGTATTGCCTCACTTGATGCTCTTGTCGTTTATTTGTCTTGTTTGTTTTACAGGACGCCGTCGAATTTGCTTTGTTTGTTTGTTGTTTAACGCAGCACTCAGCAATATTCCAGCTATATACACTCTTAAAAATATTTCATGTGATTTCAATCATTATTGTAAAAGGTGAAAATTCACACCTCTATAGACAGAGAGTTCGCCAACCCAACATCAGCCTTTATTGTTGTGTTCCTGTTTATTTGAGTCCACAAGATGGCGTCAAAGTCAGTCATTTTTGTGAGGCCACCATTGTGATAATTCGACGAAGCCGCTCTTGCGGAATTCTTCCCCACTCTTCCTGCAATGCAATGGCCAGTTTTGGTAGTGTCAGATGCGTGTTTTCTCATTGGCATACACGAGGATCGAGTTCATCCCATGGGTGTTCTATCGAGTTTAGATCTGGTGATCGCGAAGGCCATGGCAAGACATTGGCGTTGGAATTGGCGATGTAGTGGACAGTGACGCATGCCGTATGTGAAGTAGCGTTGTCATGTTGGAACAACTCCCCCTGTCGGTCCATAATCGGACGCATGTGACGTGCAAGGACTTCGTTGATGTACAGATTTGCTGTCAAATTCCCTTGAACCACCACTAAATCAGGTCTTTGTGTGCTGGATATCTCACTCCACGTCAAGACACGCCTTCCACTGAATTTGTCTACCTGTCGAATGTAATAGGGGAAAAACCTTCATTTGTCCGACGGTAAACACGCTGTCTTCCATCTTGAAGAAGAAATCGTAATTCATCACTTGAACCAGACTCGCCTCCAGTTTCTAAGGTTCCAGTTCCGGACTCTCTACGACACCACCGTAAGCGATTGCACTGATGGAAGTCTCTCAAAAACAGGGGCGACAAATGGCCTTGTTGGTCGAAGCCCCACTTCACGCAATCGATTCGACAGTTTGTTCGGAAGTTCTTCTCAAACCAGAGATGCGTTGTGCAGTCTTGCTGTGCAACGATGACTCAAGTGAGCAGCCAGGATGTAGACTGCGACTTCCACGCTTTCAAGGGGACCTATGGCGATGTTTCGATTGGCGGATGAATTCCTCTTTTCCAGGCAAAACGAATGACAAAATTAAACACAATGTTTACCTTTTATAGTAATCAATACCGCATGCTTTTCCGCTCAATTCCACGTGCATTTTGCTTTGCATGTTTTCTTCATGACGTTCTTGATACTTCTTCAAACGCATCTAACACAAGGAAATCGCATTTTGGCTCTGGAAGCTGTTTACAATCACAGATGACGTTTCGGAAAGACATAGTATATTTGTGTTGCTTTTTTGACACAGCTACATGAGTCCAGTATTCTCAAAAGTTTGGACCAGACAATACAGTGTTATACAGCATGAGCATCTGTATACACAGATTGGGATACGATGACATGTGTCAACCAAGACCACTCGAGCCTGACCACCCGATCCCGTTAGTCGCTTTTCAGGACAAGCATGGGTTGCTGAAGATCAATTCTCACCCGGATCTTCTTGGGTCAACAGCAGGATTAATGCTGTGCGTCGTTAGGCAACAGATCCTTACTTGTTTTACAATTTGATGAGTGTTAGCTTGTAAAGATGAGGTTTACAACATATTTACAATTTTTTTAAAACTATTCGCAAAGGAAGATAACTGGTGTGAAATGTTAAACGATTTCTCGGCATAGGGTAACTGCAGTTCTCTCGTGATGCTAACATAACTGAAATTTGCTAATGAGCACTACATTGTGTTAGATAGATCACATTCTCTCCTTCGTCTGATACTTTTCTTCCGGGGCGGTGGGTAGCCTAGTGGTTAAGCGTCCGCTCGTCACGCCGAGGGCCTGGTTTCGATTCCCCATATGGGTGCAATGTTTGAAGATTTCGATTAAACGAGTAAGGTTTACGTTGCATTTAATCAAATTTCTTCATACAAATAACAGGTAGGTGTCGATTGCCACATTGACATCAACACGCGATACGTTCTTCATCTTCATGCTGTACAGCATTGCACTGGCACTTTCATAGTTACAGACCGCCTCCGTGGTGTAGTGGTTAGAGCGTACGCCCGGAGTGCAGAAGGTCGCGGGTTTGATCCCCGACCGCGTCATACCAAAAGACGTTAAAATATGGTACTTGTTGGTCCCTGCCTGGCTCTCGGCATTAATGGGTACTGGTCGGCTCGAGTGGAGTATAATGTGTCTGGTGGGGTATTCATGCTTCATTGCGGCATGGTATCTCAGTGGACTACCACTATAAAACCAGCTTCAGTCTGGGCTGGTACAAGCAGCCGAACATACACATACACACGCATGCGTCGTCATATGAGCGAAATATTCTCAAGCACGACGTTAAACTCCGAGCAGACCAGTCCTTGGTGTACCCATTAATGCCGAGCGCCAGGCAGGGACCAACAAAGTACAATAATTTAACGTCATTTGGTATGACGCGGTCGGATATCGAACTCCCTCGACCTTCCGCTCTCCGGGCGGACGCTCTAACCACTACACTTAACGGAGGCGGTTTTGCGAATGTTACAAATACATATTTTTTAACAAGGGGACTGTGAAGACTAATAACTCTAAAGACGACGACACTCGTAGAAAACAAAGATCACGCTTAGGTTTTACATATATTTCTGACTTATTTCAATCTGCATGCAAAACTATCTTTCGAGGAACAGAACTGCTTAAAGTTTAATACTAAATCCCCATCTGTGGTTTATTGTGTGCGTGCGTACGTGTGTGTGTGTGCGCGCGTGTGTGTGTGTGTGTTTGCTCATATGTAACATCTAAACTGATAGTTAATTAAAATATAATGACGATGTCGGTTGAAACACGTATAGTATCTGCAGAAGAATTGATACTTCAAACTGAACTGAACAGAAACATGTTTGGCGCTATCACATGCAGCCGCAAGATATTGAACGGATATATGTTGTGTCACAGGGTGAACTGTTCATATAGCACAGCAACCCAAACACACGTCACAAATTCACAATTTTGTCCTAACAGCTTGCCATACAGATGAGCTGGCTGCCAGCAGGTACATCCTGGGCTCTGGCACATGTTGCTCCTGCAGACTGTGCACTCAGGTGCTGTATAAAGCTGCATGTGCCATGTGTCCGGCATACACCATGATGGCAGTGGCAGGCCCTCAACGTGTAATTTCCTTAATTACAGGTATAGCAAGATTGTTTGAATGAATCGTTAATATTAAAACGATTTCTCATTTATAGTGTGAGTATAGTTTAAGCCGCACTCAGCAATATTCCAGCTATATGGCGGCGGTCTGTAGCCAAATAATCGAGTCTGGACCAGACAATCCAGTGATCAACATGAGCATCGATCTGCGCAATTGGGAACCGATGACATGTAATCGTCAACCAAGTCAGCGAGCCTGACCACCCGATCACGTTAGTCGCCTTTTACGACAAGCATGCCAAGGTTACTGAAGGCCAATATTCTAACCCGGACCTTCACAGGTCTTTCTTCTCATTTATGTCAGGTGTAATCCTGTATTCCAGGTAATTATATTTAACAATGGTTTAGTAACTTTCATAATTATTTCTATTTAGTAAATGTCACAATAGTTTCGCACTTTATCATATTAATTCATAATTTATGACACACCATGCTGGCAGTGGCAGCCCA